TTTTAAGTTATTGTTGCTTTTGATACAAAAAAAAAGATCAACAAAAAAATTGGACCACATGCAAATTTGTCCAAAAAAAAAATCATTACTTCAACATTTGGTAATGATAGTGACTAAAGTCAATATTTATAATTTATAGTTATACAATTTTACTCGCAAAATATAAAAAAGAGGAGTAAGAAGAGAAAGGGAAAAGAAAAAATAATTATAAATCCCACTCTTTCTAAATGCATATCAAACAAGGGAGTTTTAATAAAATAGAAAGGTTAATTGTCATTTTAGGTGGATAAGAGAGGTAGGTTTCATTTCTAAAACTTTGAGGGAGCCCAATGAAATTATTAGAAACCTTAGGGGAGGGGTCTGAGATTATCCCTAAATGAAAGGAAGAAAAATGGAGAAAGGTTTCTTCAACTACAGAAATTTTAAAAGAAAAAAAGAATAAAGAATAAAAGATTGAAGGAAGATCACCAAAACGACGTCGGAGAAACTCCATCGGATCGGATTGACAAAAGGTGTAATATCTGGAAGAAAGCAGAGAAAAAGACGAGGAGGAGAGAGAGAGAGAGAAAGAAATGAGCTTAGGATCAGCATCGTACCTGGCTCGAAGAGCAGCGCAGAAGGAGAGAGTAAGGATCCTCTACAGACGAGCTCTCAAGGACACTCTCAATTGGGCTGTACATCGCCACCTCTTCTATCCTGATGTAAATAATTCTTCTCTTCATTTCCTAGGGTTTATTTCCACCAATTCGATGTCAATCTGCATTTCATACTATGTTCAATCGCTGAAGATTTGATTAACCTATCAAAACTCTATCGTTTACATTCTTACAGGCCGATGCTCTTAGGGAGAAATTCGAGGCCAACAAAGATGTGGTATGCTATCTTAGACTCTCTTTTTATGAGTCGCAGTCTTTTAGTATTTATTATTATTATTATTATTATTATTGTATTAACCAAGAGGCTGGTGTTAGTAGTCTGATGAAAAGTAGGGGTCCGATTTTGCTTGGTTAACTCATTTGGTTTTATTTGTAGAAGATGAGAATTTAACTAAGTGAAGTTACTTAAGCCATTTCTGAATGGGGGATTTGTTTAACATAATTGTACATTTTTGGGGTTCTAATTCATTATGCGTTTGAGTTGGGTTCTTCCCCAGTGATTGGGTCTTGTGGTATCATTTTATGTATAATGCTTTATGATGGTGAAACTCAATCGGTAATTGACTGATTGCTGATTTAGTGAATACTCAAAATGTGACTAATGTGTTCACATTTTGATGTTGTTCCCATCGTTTTAAAATTCTTTAAATTTTAGAGTACTGGAATCTTAACTGTTTGCTGTGGTTTTGTTATCTGTTCTGCTTTTTTAAAGAAATAAGTCATAACCCATTGAAATATGTCGTGGTAGCTGCAGCATGTTGCATTTCGTGGCATTAGTTTCCTCATATCATGTTATACCATGAGTCGTGTATATCTGGTAACATATTCTATTTGTGGATTATTTGCCGTCTATGAGGGTTAAGTGGAGTTCTATATGCTATGTGATGTCAAGCTTTTCATTTACTGGTCTTTTAAGCTCTGGTGTGTATTTGTTCCATTGACCATTATCTTTCTTATTGGCTGTAGTAATTGTGTAATCCAGTACAGTGTCAGCTAGCTTGATCTTCAACAGCAGGTTTGGAGTAACGTAGATGAACTTAAAATTTTAGTGTTTCTTGGATGAAGTCTGCTGTTTGCTCATCCTAATTGATGATATGTGCTCTACAGCCTAATGAGAGTTTGTTATATTGCTTCTGCTACATAGATGAACTGGGTTACTTAATCAGATTTCTGTACAGAAAGTCATGCTGTGTTTTCTCATTCAGCACATTACATATGATCTTATATTCGATTTTTCTTTTATTTTTTAAATGTCATGCTTTTCCAGCAAGATCTTGAAACTATTGATAGGATGATAGCTACTGGTGAAGTGACCTACAATAAGTGGCGCCATCCTGATCCTTATGTGGGTAAGTGTTTGCTTGAAGGTTTATTTATTAATATTTATGTTTAACCTTTTCTCTGATTTCATGAAGTATAGAAATTTCTGCCTATAGTTTACTTGCTTTAAGGTCATTAAAGACATAATGTACTCCATCCCCATTTAACTATGAGTTATCTTAATGCAAGAAAATTTAGTCATGTGCAGTGCGATAATGTATAAAAGATAGTCCCTTTTCTCCCTTTTGAGAACCCATTAATCGTATCCCTTCAACCAAGCTACGTTTGCATTATATATTGTGGATCTCTATAAAGTATTCGTATACTTTGCATGACCCAAGTCAAAGTGACATCGAAAAAAAGTTGCAAGCATTTTGTAACTCATATCACGGATGATTTATCTGGTTTCAGTCTTGCTTTTGCTCCACTTGTCTTTCTTGTAAGGCTGAGTCTCCTGAACAAATCAGCTTTTTGAATTTTGGTTTCTGAAAGTATTTCTCGTCTTTTGTTTAATGAACAGTTCCATGGGCTCCTGGTGGCTCGAAGTTCCACCGAAATCCAACACCTCCTTCTGGGGTAAGTTGCTTTGATGTCCTTATTGGTTCTTTTCTTGTGACTAATTGAGTGTATGTTTTGTTTTATTCTCTTTGCCCCCCTTTTTATGAACTTAATGGTCCACTCTACTTCAACACAACAGCCCCTTGGCAATTATGGTTCAAACAGGAATGCAATTAGATTTTTCATTTTCCCTTCTATTCTTGACCTGTTTTAAAGTAGCAAATTATACATCGCATGTTCTGTTAGCTACTGTCTCTGATGCTGAATTATTTATTCAGTTGTGTGTTATTAGGCAGTTAATTATTGGATGAAAATATTCTCTCTATATTTTTCAATGGGTTCTCTGGCTTGCAAAAACCAATTATAAGAGGAGAAACGTGACTGTGTAATACTCTGATGTTAGTATGCTGTACCTATTTTTGTTGGTTATGCTTCTTGTCAACGCTTGACAACCTTATTTGTTGTATTGCAATAATTTGAACTTTTGGCTGCTTATGCAGATTGAGATATTATATGACTATGGTAGGGAAGACAATGACTAACGCCTGATCTTCCTTCTGCAAAAATAACTGAAGGTTAGGGTCATTCTTGTCATTAATCTTTTACATTTATTGCTGCAATGGAGTGGTTACAGTTACAAATCTACTCATAGCAAATGTTACATTGACATCATCCTTATTTGTGGGATTAAGCAAAATTCATCCTAATCTATGGCATTAAGCAGAATTCGTCCTCAATTATGGCATTAAGCAAAGGTTAATTTCGCTCTTGCTCATGTTCTTTGACATGTTTTTGGCACGTGCATTCTTATCATTCTTAAGTTGACCGAAGGATAAAGGGCAATCATTTCTCCTGCACATTATCTGGTGTGTATATCACATTCATTGGGAATTCCTAGCAAATTTGTTTTGTTTTGCTGAAAAATTGCTGTTGACGCAGATCAACTGGGCATTAAGGATGTGAAGAAAGAAGATTCCCAGTCTGTGCATGTTTGTTCATGGCGGTGTTTTGAAAATCTGTAAGACATGCAGTTGGTTAATCTGTATTCTCTGAGCATTTTGACTTGGATTAGACAGTTTCCAGATGATGTGCCAATCTCTCATAATAGTTGGATTTTTGAATTGTCCGATTTGCTTGGACCTTCTATCATCCAGAACGCTTTTTAAAATAAATCAGGCATTGAATTCTTGACTTCTGCGCATGCATTCTGCTGATTTCTAGTAGTATGTACTGAGTTATAACCGTTCGGGACTTGCTCACTTGGCAAAGTGAGCCAATATAAGCTGTCAGTATCTCGTTTAAAATGTGCCGGTAAACAATCCCCAGGTGCTTATGTCGGCCAATCCATGTACCATTTTGGTCGCTACAGCAGTTAACAGCAAACTAGAGCAACAAGATGAGTAAGTCGACTTATTATGGTTTCTCGGGTAGGTATAACGTCGGGTAGGAAAACAAAAGCAAGAAAAAAAAGGCTACTTTTATGAAATATGACGGACAAATTAATGCACGATCACAATAACGCAGCTCCTTGAGGACCTATTTTACGTACCTAAAAACTTCATCTGCGCTGCAATATCATAAACGGTTGAGAAACCTCGGTCGCGTTAACCCTCGTCCTTCCCAAGAAAGCAAAGGAAATGAAGCAGAATAGAGGTTTGTGTCGCGTCCAATTTCTGGTTATTAGGCTTTAACTTAAAATCAAGGAATAAGCATGGAATGACATTGACTGAATTTCTTAATGAAGAGCTTCAGTGGCATATTAGGTTTGCTAGGAAAATGATGTTTATTTGGCAAGGGCAAAGGACATATGAAGCGTACTTTATCATTGCAAGTGGTGCGCTGTTTGTAATCGCAAGACAGATTTTAGCTTCAAGACCGAGCAAATAGAGCAACTAAAACAGTAAAACCCAAGTTAGCCTATGAAAGTCTTTTATTGACACATTTGTGTTGGAAGAGAGAAATAAAGGCCTACAAACAAAAAGCACACAGAAGGCTACATCCTTCGCATCTCTCAATTCCTCGCTCTCCTCACACCGAAAACCAGCATGCCAGGCAACCCTCCTACCTCAGAATATTCGCTCGAGGGAGTTCCCCATTGACCTGATTGACGTTGTAAAATACCATTCAAGAGGTTCAAACATATAATCCTTCGTTCTATATTTTCTCATACAGGCTTTTAATTCCTGGAGCCTCAGAATATCTGTACACCTATTATCATAGTTTAAGATAGAAAGCCTGCAGTAGTCATAGTCAATACTGCTATTACATGACCAGGACTAGTATTCAAAACAGCTGCATTAATGTATAACAGACCCATCATATCTTGCTTATTAATCAGTTTCTATCAACTGAAACGATGAAATACCGATGATCTTTTCTTGCAAATCCTATAAAGAAATTAGGAAAGTTTGTAACTGTGTATCTGTGGATTATCTACATCAATTCCAGAGAACATTAAAAAACCAGGTATCCGATTAAATGTAAGCATGTCATAGGTTGCATTGTAGATCTGTAAATAGCCCAATTAGGGCGATTGTGACATAATTGCAAGATGAAGTTGGTTTGCACATCTTTGTTTATCTTCAGATTTTACTTGTGGAAATGTGTTTATAGGTGTAGCAAGTTCAACCAGATAACATATCGACTGTCATTATTCTGTTTGTAATTGAAGTTAGTTGATGCTGATCATTACAAGCATTTTTTTTTGCACGGTCCCTGCAGCTAAAATGATCCCCCTTTTTATGATGTTTGCTGGTGGACCTCTGGGCTCTGGAAGACAATGGTACTGCACTTTTACTTTAGTACTCAAAAGAACTCCCTTAGCTCTCTCTGTTTCCTGTGTAGTAAATGGTTATTAGCTCTCCGCAAGCAAGGAATTGAGACAATTTACATTGAAATGTTTTAAATGATAGTTCAACTTGGAACTATTCCATAAATTACACTAAGAATAAGAAGGGCAAAGTTTCCTTTTTTAAGCACCAGGCTTTAATGAATGGTACCTTCAAGACCTCAAGGGTCAAGGTGGAATTTTCCTTGATCATATGCTAAGATTGTTTACTATTATGGTTTTTTAAATTGTTTTTCTTTTTTGGTCTGCATTAGCTTAATACATTTTTGTGTTGCCTTTTTCTGTAGGTTTTCGTGGATTCATGTGGATGATCTAGTTAATCTGATATGTGAAGCTTTATCCAACCCATCTTACAAAGGCAAATCTCTTCTGACTTACCCCATGTAGAGTTCTGGTGAAAATTTTGTTTATGTGCTCATGAAAATTAGATTGTCAATATTTGTAAAAAAGGAAATGTAGATGGCCAGTTTGATAGTTGTCTGTCATTAACTTCTTTGACTCATGATACCTTTTGGAGACAAAATTGACATACCTCTTTCTACCATATGACACAGTGAACAGTAATTAAGGATGAATGTTGTATAGATTAACAATTCTTTCCTATCATCCTTCCTTGCAGTTCTGAAATTCGGAAAGCTTAATTCGGCGTTATGTAATCAGTTAATAAACACCGTCTTATTTCCACCTGTATAGGACACATCACCTGCCTATAGTGCTCCAGTTCTGTTTGAGAGTCAAGTATCTGCATTTTTCAACATACTTCCAATATTTAGATCGTCTTAAGTTGGTGTTCGTATAATGATTCTAACATTGGACAGCGGATTGGTTGGTGTTACAGGGGTCATCAATGGCACAGCACCAAATCCTGTCAGGCTGGGGGAGATGTGTGAACAACTGGGATCTGTTTTAGGCCGGCCTTCATGGTTGCCAGTGCCAGATATTGCACTAAAGGCGGTTCTTGGAGAAGGTGCTTCAGTGGTAAGATCCCCTGCCTCCTGACTCTTAAAATTATGCCCTTCCCTCTTTAGTCACTAAGAAAGGTAACGTGGTTATCCTAGGTTTTGGAAGGACAGAAGGTGCTTCCCGCTAGAGCAGAGGAACTAGGTTTTCCGTTCAAGTATCGTTATGTGAAAGACGCACTGAAAGCCATAATGACATGACTACGCTGAAGCATGATATGCTGCTGGACAACGCATAATCAACACCCTCAATTTTTTTCATTTGTTAGGCTGGGAACTGAGGTGAGTTCTCAGGTCTAGTTCTTAAGGTTGCGAGCTACTTCAACTGAGAAAAGCTTAATACATCACAGAGAGAAGTATCTCCTTCACTTTTTCCTTTGAACTGTTGTCTCCTTGATGAAGCTCTGCTGAATTACTTTGCTAAAAATTACGTGGACTTGTGTTAGTCACTCCTTAGATCCCAAATCACACGTACAAGAAAAAAATGTAGAAGATGCAGAAGAGGAAAAGGTTCAAATGTTGTCATGGCTCTGCAAAACCCGGAAATTACCCACAGTTTGTTTTTGGATACAAAAGTAAAATGGGTAGTCTTCGAATGGTACAAACAAATCTATACATACATGATTACACACACACACACACACACACATGTAAAAGCTCTACCAGTTCGAAGATAATTTGTACGGGTCAGTCGCTTAATTGAGGCTTACTCATTTACCTTTCAAGTTTGCTTCCAACTAACCACTCGAAACAACTTTTATCTCTTCATTTGAATTGCTTGCTTTTCAACTATATAAAGTGACTTAGTTTGATAAACATATATGGAGAAATTGGGCATTCATATATAAAATAACTTACTTTGATAAACATCTATGAGTAATTGGATATTAATACATAAACTAATTTAAAACAATCACAGAGATGATTATTCACTAAACTTATATTTTTAACTCTAAAAAATATTAAAATTTGACACAGATAAATTTTTTTAAAATACATAAACATTACTAGATGTAGCCAATATCATGACCATTTATTAAGTATAGTATGAATTTCATTTATAAATTTCTTCCACACCTGATAAACTTTCATTTCAAAATCTCAAAGACCATTAATTGCCTCTTTTTTTTTTGGGGTTACAAAAAAGCACGAAATATAAAGAGACGGATATCTTTATGTAACATCGTGTATCTATTTTCCTTCTATAAAAGACCAAATTACTGTGATACGAGCATGGAAAAATCAATGGTGGGGGGAGCCGAGGGAGTTTTCTGATGACGAAGCAGTGGACAGGGGAGGGTCCTTACCTCAAAACCACCCCCGTTGCCATCCCTATTCAAAATCCATATATCATCCTCTTATGTTTGAATTAAGTGCCCAAGTATCATGAATCATACTGCAATTAGAAGTCAAAATGACCAAAACATATAAATTTAATACAGATTTTGCATGGGATTTAGCTTTTTTTTTTTGTATAATTCTCTCATAGTTTTTAAAATTTATACACAGTTCCTTCATAATTAATAAATAATTTGCATCTTGACATTCAGGGTTTTTTTGTTGACATTTTAGTCCTTTTCGCTATGTAGGAAAGTTTCGTAATTTTGACACTTTATTCTATAAAAAAAAAAAAAAAAGACATATACGTGAAAAAAAAAAAAAAGTCACAAGAGGTAAAATGTAATTTACCAAAAAAAAAAAAGTAAAAAGGGAAACTGATTCCTCCATCACCCCTTTTGGATAATCTCAGCAATTGAAGGTAATTTTATTTCGCTGACTTTTTTGTTTACGAGTTGATATTTTTAACCTCCACTAATCTTTACAGATGGTAAAATATATTATTTGAAAGCTTAAGGGTGGTAAAGTGCAAGAAGCTCGAGGGGTTAAAGGTCTGGTTAAAAAATACAAAGGAAGGAATTTGCTAAGGTAATTGATGCGATGGCAAATTAGTTCAACTTTAGGAAAGGTGAAATGCAACGAAAACAACGTGCATTGCATATGTGCATGGCACACAACAGAGTCGAACCGTCCCTTCCTGGCCCCTTCAAAAGTGTGGCTTACAATGGGGCCTAACCCAACAGAAAAATGCGCCGATGTCAGAGTGAGAAAGTATCATTCATGGTCACGGCTACAGGCCCATTGTATTTTGATAAGAGATTATTTGGGATAATTTTTTTAAAATAGTGGAATAATATTTTAATACGATATCGATAAAATAAAAAATAAATTTATAATGTTTGCGGATAATAATTTGCCTTGCCATCCAAACACGCTGGCACCTCTATTTCATTTTTCTACATGTTTATGGTTCTCATGAAAATGGTTCCATAAATATACTTTAAAGAATTTCCACGCATTCCTACAACGGCTAATCTTCATTTTCATAGCGTTCTTCTAGACCAGGACATGTGTACGTTTTCTACCCATCTTAATTTGTTGAATCTTGTATAGGAAAGCAATTAATTCACCTTTCTTGATCTCCAATTTTCTCATCCTCACAAGAATCAATTTTCCAAGGAAAGAGAAAAAGAAATTCTAGGAATGACGCATTTAATGCGACGCACACAATTCTCCAAAGCCCAATTGTGCGTTGTTGCAAGGGAAGATAAGAAATATAGAACATTGCCAATTAGCTATCAGCATCACTCTCACATGAGAAATTACACATTTAACGCCTTTGGCCTTTCATTTGTTCTTCCTTTGCTACTCAAACGCAAAACAATAAAAGAGGAATAGGTTGTTGCCCCAAACCACAATCACAATGGGCAAATACCCCTCAATACTATGTATCACCTTAAGTGAATATCTTGACTTGTACTTGACATTGAATGCAGAGTCTTGCAGATTAAAACATCGAAGCTTTACAGATATCTCTTTAATAAATTAAGCCCCACTTCCCATTATACTTAAAAATATTAACCTAGAAGTCAATGATACTACAATAATTCGGCAGAATATGTTGAGTTTGAGTTCTAACCCAGACTGAGAGTTGATTTAACAATAAATTGAAGGCCCTCAATCAAGAACCACACAAGTTAAAGACCTTGAGCAGTATGACATTATCCCTTCAGTGAATATTTCTTCCCTGTGAAAGCCTGGAACTTTGGCTCTTCTTTCTTTTCAGGTTCTTCTGGTTTAGTCTCTTTCGAAGGTTCCTACAGAAAGAGACGTCAATGGTTAGAATCACATGAACATATGCTCAGCTTCAGGTTATTATGAGAGAGACAGACAGACAGACAGACAGACTTTTCGTGTTTCGCGTGTACGGTTTTGGTTTGAGCCAAAGACGAGCTTTCCCTGAGACTGTCGACTAGCACCCTGTGAACTTGAACCTGCAGAAGGCTGTGCGCCACTAGAGACCTCAGGTCGCTTATCATTGGAACCGGACGAAGAAACTGGTGAAGGTTGGTATTTCATGGGTTTCCCATCTAAGCGTCTTCCAACACCACTAAATGGGTTAAATTTTGGTTGTGCTTCTGGAGCCTCTGGACCTTCATGAATGACAACAAAGTTAATCAACAGCGTTTCATCCCAATTCAGGATTCTTATACCCAAAGAAAAATCAGCAACAGTCCATAAGATAATTAGTTTTGGAAGGTGCGCCAAGGAACACTAATCAAAAGTCCAACAAAAATTTTATTATGAACACAGTAATATGAAAAGACAGGTGGATCAATCTTTCTTACACTGTCAGCGTTGGATGAATGATAACTATATAAAATTTGAATTTGAAATTTAATTTTTGCACACATATCATGAATCAAATGGTGATAGTGTATACATTGTCAATGTATATAAGATTTACTCTTTCTTGAATAGCCTCACTTATAAGCTTTTCTTGAGTTATTATTTTACTCTACTGCCCCAATATATTGTTCAACAAGCTATCTTCGTATTAAATGCTGCAGATTTTATACAGATCTAGATGAAAGATTCACATTAAGAATATAGAAACATAAGATCTCAGTGTCAAACAGAAGAAAATCTAACACTAATAAAAAAAATTTTCCAAGGAACACGATATGCTAATTAAAAGGCATAAATTTGTGTCTTCCTAAAGGCCCCCTACCAATTGACCTTACCATTACTACTGGTTATCCGCTAGTGCAAGTTCTGAAGGAGCTCATTAGACAGAGCACTTTATACTAAGTTAACACAGATGGTCACTTAAGTCTCGTGCTCTGATGAGAGAAACGCTATATATCCAACTTTAATGGTAATGTAAAAGAAAAAAAAAAGCACGGAAAAAATCACACCTCCTAATGCGTTGCTTGATGCAGGAGAAGGGGTGGGTTTTTCAGGTTCCTTGTAATCCAGTGGAGGAGCAAAGTCCACTTCACAGTCCGTTTCAATAATGCTTATGGCATTAGAGGGTTTTGTCTCTATAATATCAATGTAGTACTTCTTGTTGTTGTAGGCCACCATAATACTGTCACCCGTTGTTAAGCAGGAAAAGTTTCTTAGTGTTGTCTCCAAGCTGCACCAGCAAAAACAAAAGTCAAACATGGACCTCTACCACCCTAAATCCATATCAAATCCACTACTTATTTATCAAATATTCTGCAAATGACGATCAATAAAATGGAAAATCTCAAGATTTCAACAAACCAGCTGCCATCCTGAAGACAACCTCTCCAACTCCAAGAAAAGTACATCAATGGTCAAAAGTAGGTAGTGATCATGCAGAATGTTCTATTAAATTCTAGAAAAAACTTCCCAATGAAAATGAGGAAAAGGCAGCGACTAGTTTAGAACAGCTATAGCCATTTAAACAATGAAGACAATGCGAAGCCGTGCTGCAGAAATTAAATTGCATTATGTAATCCTCTAAGATAACAAACTCATAAATTCTCTAAGGGGAAGCACCTTGGTTTCTAAACTGATGTGAAGGCAGTCTGCAATATTAAGGGCCACATGATCCAGGAAAAACACCAAAACCACCAAGTCCTGAATTATGTTTCATGCAGATTTTTCCAATAAAAGAAAATAATGCTTATAAATGATGCAGGAGACAGCAAAACAAGTTGGAATTTCTAAAACTGGGCAAGACCTTGCATTTGCCAATGGTTAACTCATATATACGCCTAAACAGAATTCATGAATGCTTGAGTGCCAAAACACCATCCATTAATGCCCCCCCCCCGCGGGCCCCCCTCCTCTGATAAGCATCAAAGAAAGCATTTGCAAGAGTTGAGAAGACAGGCAAGAACCATAAAATTTATTCCGAAACTGCATGACTGTACATCACCAAGCACACTAGAATCAGTCTATTAAAGAAAATATCATAATCTGACCTACACCATAATGAAACATTACGTAGTAGAGAAGAAACAACAAAGATACTTTAGCAAACTTACATGGCTTTTGGGTTGGAAATTTCCAAGAAGTCCTTAGTGTGTGGTTGCAACTTAACATATGTACCCTTAGGAAGAGTCACATTTTTCACACG